TGTAGTGTTGATTTTACCTCGTTTTCGCAACTTGTTGATAGCGATAGAGAGACCTTGTGCAATGTACCTATTCATGAATCCTCTCTCATAGTAGTCATGATGATATCCAGCATCGACTCATTAACTTCCCCACATTCCCAGACGTTTCGCTCACATCGTCAGTGAGAAGCTCCATTCGTAACAAAGTTACAACGTATCAGAGACAATCGGATGACCAATTATCTGTTCAACGGTTGTGGCATCAGTCATTGTCTATAATTTTCGTTATAGCCTCTAGTGCTGGACCTCTTTTCCTAAACCTTTGATGATAGGGCCCAGTTATCTACTTTAAGAAGGGAGGATTGTCCTTCCCTTCATGATTGCACAAAGGTTCCAGTTCATTAGTAGCGACCACAACTTGAAAGCTAGTTAAGAGGAGGGTAGAGATATCAATCGTTTTACCTGTCTGGGAAGATCAACTAACAAACGAATCCAGATAATACTTGGAAGCTGATACCCAGTAGAAGCAATACAAAGCAGCACACGAATCGTGATGAGATGGCGATTAAAAAAGAAAAGAAGGGAGACAGAGAAAACGAATGATATGTCTACCCTCCTGCGACCTGGTTTGGAAGCTGCGATCGCTACTAATAAAATGGAATACTAGTACAATTATGAAGGAAAGGACAGCCCTCTTCACAAGCTTGTCACACATGGGAATTTCAGTAAAACGGAGCGCTCCATAGTTTATAGCATAAACGACAAGAACTGTAAACAAAATTATATCGGAGACTAGAGACAATCAGTACAAGGGTCAAACGACGCCAGCAAATCTGCAGGACAATGGATACAGAATGATCATAGATAGCTGAATAAATTGCCCTGATCGGCCACATGACTGAATGGAATGCAACGGAAATACTAATCTCATATGGGAAAACACCAGGAAGGCTGTGAGCATCCTCTTCTAAAGAAACCTAATAAGCAAGTTGAAGGAAGGAATAGTCGGTGAGAATTTCGCTTAAGGCCTGGGCAGATTTGGATATTCAGCGAGAACAGCTGACGTTTGCAATTATTCCAAATCAACGGTCCGATGCTGGAAATCAATTTTAAGACTATGACAAAGGACGTGGGACTAGATATGTTTCACAAAATCTCACTATCGCTCAGACCAAATTGCGAAAACGAGACCATATTGGGATTATAAAGTTTGAATTTATAAAGGCCTGTAACAAGGGATTCCTATGTCCAGGATTAAATAGACTAATTGAATTCACAGACAAAAGTGTATTAGAACAGATGGGAAAATTACGAAAATAATGACCTATTAGATGGAAAGGACTATTGAAATAAAAAGTAGACAGATTACTAAATGTCAAATAGGAGAAACTACTGGCTCTATAGAGCCAAGATAACTCATATGCATAGTATAGACTTCCAAAATGGAATGCAATTATACAATATATGCATGACAAGTAATTATCAATAAAACTATACACAATCAAAAATATTCCAAAGTTTATATGGAATTATTGCTTTATCCGAGTATGCCTTAAATCAGTTATACTAAAAATAAGTGAAGGCAAAGGTTTACAACCAACCTCAATGAGGTCTAAAGCAGTGCCATCATTTGTCTTTATTCTGCTTCTGAGCTTGCTTATTTTTGAAGCTTTGGCAAAGTCAGTCCTTTTTAAATAAGACTCCTCAGGCCATTCGGATTCATCAGGAAAGCCGACAGTACTAAAATAAAAGTACATAAATAGGTCATACCTGATTATCTTCTTAAGTAGGGCTATTTCCGTGTCGGCTATAAACAATGTTTTACAATTAAAAAGCTCTGCTATTATGCAACCCGCACCCCAGACATCACAAGGGGAAGAGTATTCCGATTGAATAAGAATTTCAGGCGATCGATACCACAAGGTAACCACTATGGGAGTTAAGGGAGACTCCCAACCGAGGACACGAGATAGACCAAAATCAGTTATTTTTAACTGTCTACCCTCTTTATCGATCAAAATGTTAGCAGGCTTTAAGTCTCGATGTATAATTCTATGTGAATGGAGGAAGTCTATTCCCCTTAAAAGTTGCTCTGAAAGATCCTGCAGAAGGGTTGAAAAGGCTGAGACAACTTACTCTGACAGTTTCTGGTGGAAGTCCTGTAGGAGGAACATGATGTGAGAGAAATCTTGCAAGATCGCATTCGATGTACTCGAATACAATATATATCATAAGTTTGTCATCTTTCCTCGCTAGAGAAATATCATACATCCTTCGGAATAACAATAAATGCAGGCTTACTGTACAAGATGATCACAGCGATAGTATTGGACTTTTTTAAGAACACTCAACTCACGAAGAGTGCTTAATGGAATCCCCTGGTCGTCGTTATGAATTACTATCTCCTTTAATGCAACGGCGGTT